TCATCAGTGGTGATGAACAGTTATATCCAAGGAAGGGATTTACAAATGTTAATGCCATTTCTCAGAACACCTGTATCTTTCCTTTAGCAAGAGAGAAGAAGTGGGGGGGGGAAGGGAAGAGAATAAACTTTTTCTTTTATTAGAGGGTTTCCCACCCCCTTTTATGGAGCAGGCAAGAAGTGGGGAGGGAGGGAAGAGAATAAACTTTTTCTTTTATTAGAGGGTTTCCCGCCCCCTTTTATGGAGCAGGCATACTTGCTGTATGCACTGTGTCAATTTACCTTAAAGGGATAGAACAGCAATACAGAAGCAAACTGATACACACCTCACACAGAGAAATCACCCATTAAGTCACTGTCTCTTTCTCTGAGATGTTTTATCTACCTCTGGCTATATGCCTGAGGCTATGGTAGCAAAGCTGAAGTGAGAAAGCATCCAGCTTGTTAAGTATCTTATTTGAGTGTGTTAACAGCTGTTGGCGTTCCAAGGTACTGTGACAAAGTCCCGGGGGGGAGGGCAGTTTTGTAGGCTGGAGCTAAGGCATCCATGTATCTGAAAGGAAGTCTCAGTCTGGAGGGACCTTTCCTACGCTTTAAAGCACAGTGTGTCTTTCTGAGTGGTGTACATGGAAAGCCTCAGTTAAAACAGGTTCCAGAAATTATACAGACTAGCGTGGATTCTTGAGGTCCTCCACTACCACCGCTTTTTCGCAGTATTTCCTTTAATGGTGAATGTTATTTCTGTCAGAGGAAGCGGAAAAGGTGTAGGAAAGTCCATTTGAATAATTTAAGAAGTATATCAGGCTTCAGTTATATTCGAAGATCAGCGGTTATGAAGGGAAGGAACTATGAGGACACCAGCAATGGAAAATGCTTCATTTGCTCAAGGACTTCAGATCCAATTTCAACACCACAGTATTCTGCTTTTTTGCTCTCATGTGAGTCACCTGGTCTGGATGCTGATCAGGCAAGAATGGCTATCCACAGATTAAATGATATACATTAATAGGCTGATCAGGTCCACATTTTCAGCCGACAGTGTGAGGTTGCAGACAGACAGCCTTCAAAATTGCCTTCCAGAAGAGAGACTAGGTTGTGGGAAATAGTTATTTTACGTCCTTATCAAACTCAGATGAGAAGGATTCTTTCTATGTATTACACAAAATGATCTGTCAGAAGGAGGGCAAAGACGATCAACCCCAATCAAATCCAGATTTGCCCAGAAGAAGACATCTCAACAATCACATTGCAGTCTTGGGGCTGCATCCATTAAGGATGAAGAAAATTTCTTTCATGACTAAAACTTCAGTTTTCAAGCAGACAGACCAAAAGAAAAAAGTGGGAAAAGCGCTCTTTAATTTTCAGCAAAGCCATCAGAAAGGCTGGAGTTGCATAAGGTTTGTGTAAGTGTTGGTGTGGCTAATCATCACTGTGCAGTCGAAGGTGTGATCAGATACACAACTGAGACACACCCTGTCACCTTGCCAGTTTGACATAATTAGCTGCAGTTAAGTTAGGCAAACTTTACACAAACACCTGTAGGATTCTGGCCAGAATCCTGCAGCATCTTAAGGACTAGCAGTTTTTATTTGACATAAGCTTTTGTGACAGCATTTGAACTGCAGTTCACAAAGCTTAAAGCAGAAAAGACATTTTCACTTTTAAATTCCCACAAGTTTCGTTGGTTTTGCTGCAACAGATTATAAACATGTCTACATCACTGTACATTTTTGTAGTATTTATGTGTATATTAATCTTAACTACCACTTGGAAATGGTTTTTGAAAATATGCTTGTATTGCAAACTATGTACTGCCTTCTACTGAAGCAGGAACAGGAAATATGCACCTCTTGGTTCAGTGGTTCCTGATGCTGATAACCCAGGTGTTCTTGGACTGTAACTCCCAGAAACCCTGGCCAGCACAGCTGATGGTGAAGATCTCTGGGAACTGCAGTCCACTCAGGTTAGCCAAGTTGGGAGTCATTGCCTTATACTGATTTCAGATGCTCTGAGCAACTGGCCTCTTCAGATGTCTGACTTAGAGTGATCTTTCCTGTTCTTGAGGACTTGCTAGATGACGAGAATGTAGTGGCAGAAAAAGAGAGGAAGAGAGAGAGAGAAACAGATGCCTCCCTGTTTGACTTTTACCCTGCTGTCCAACGGACTGCCCTCCAATGTAGTTAGATTACAACTTCCAACAGTCCTAACTAGCATAACGGATGGTGACCACCAGTGTTTTCCCAACGGACTGCCCTCCAATATTAGATTACAACTTCCAACAGTCCTAACAAGCATAACGGATGGTGACCACCAGTGTTTTGTTTTTGCAACAGTTTACGTGAAATAAAAGCTTCTGTAAATGAGAGGGAGCGTAAGTAAAATCTGAAGTATAAACTTCTCTGTCCATTTCCGTATGAATTGCTTAGATGCATGAAACCAATGACAATCACAATGGAAATGACTCATACCTAAGAGAAGCTTAGAATGCAACTTTTAAAAAGTAATTAGCTATGGCTACGCTCAAAAATAGTTTGCTACCATTAGAGTTAAAATTTCAACAAAAGTATATTTATTTCCCTGTTTTTCAAAAGTAACCAGAATGGTTGCTTTTAGTTATTTAAAAATGTAAAAATACAGTAAATATTGCAAAATGCATTCTCCTCCCATCTATCTTCATATCACCTCAGTACCCATCATAAAGCTCTTGAACTATGTGACAGTTCTTCTGCACTATTGTAGTTTTTGTAATAGTAACTATAGTAACTGCTTGTTTATAGTATAGTAAATGCCTGTAGCTATAAAAAAATAATGATAATAATACTGAAATAGCACACAAGGAGCAAAATTACAATTAAATTACAATTATGATACACACTTAAAATTTTGCTATTGTGAGTACCAACCACCAATCAGCTATTTATAACTTATTACATCCAAGCCCATCACTAGTTACTTCCAAGCTCTGTATATAACACATAGTACAGTATTAACTTGTATTAGGAAACAACTAGAGAACTTCTGGCCATCCCACAGCACAGCCTATACCAAACACCGTTTAATCATCCTCTGGGCAGATAATAGCAGCATACAGCCACAAGATTTCCATGGCATAGATCGACAACCCCCAGAAGTCTCTCTTAACTCATTTCTGCATCTGACTAGCTGGACAATGCGAAATGCTACCATCAGCATTGAGGAATTTGCTACTGTGGGCTTACAAGAGGTCAGCAGGTTAGCAACAATAGCTAGTGGAGCTGCTGCCTCAGGGGTTGGCTCACACTAGGTGATTACTGGCCTGGAAGGAATTGCTTCAATCAAAGCTGCCAATCCATGAGGTATAATCCAGAGATATTAGGGAGGCCAAGAGCCCAGTGATGTCAATGGAAAAGGATGGCATCCACCTTTCTTTTGGTTGTACCCTCCTCTCCTGGAAGAGGCAGAAGGGCTGCCTTCTCCTCATTATTTTCAGCTTAATAAAATAAAGAGCAGGAAAAGTGCACATAGAACTGCCTTCGGGGAAATAATATTAGCAGTAGGGCTGTGTAACTGATTCAGCCAAAGCCCAAACCAAATCTGGCTCATGGGAATCAAGCTGAATCTGGTCTGTATCAGATCAGATCTGATGATCCAGCAAAGTCAGATATTAAGCAAGCATACAAAAAGATCAAGCAGTGTTTATCCAAAGGTTGCAAAATGATATCATATAAAGAAAATGTTAGGGTAGTGTGATCTGAGGGGAAAGGCCCTAAACAGCATTTTCAAAATATTTGGAGTGAGGGGTTTCATAATGTTATCTATTATATCTTATATGATAACTTTTATATTTTCTTAGCTGCTCATTCTTTTGCTTTTCTTTAGATGTTAGTGGCTGCTCAAAAAGTGCAGGTGAATGTTCCGGTAGTTGTTGACTATCTTGATTAATCTGAGTCTCTGTGGTCCAAAGCATAACCTCCAAAGCCTTTGTCTTGTTAATCTGAATAGATGAGCCTAACCTTATTTTTCCCTTTCTAGTTAATTTATGTTTTAAAAAACTGAGTAGCAATCTATTTATTATGCAGCAGTTTTAATGAGTTAGGTGGTAACACTTATTTTTCCTGCTCCCTGCCACCTCTCAGGCTTCCAGATTGAGTTGAACATGAATCTCACCAGAACTCTCTGATCAAATACTTTTGTTTGGGTTTATGATTATTGTAACTTGTGTTTCACCTTCCTTCATCTTGTAAGCATCTGACCTTCAATCCTTCCTTCCTAGTTCTTTCCCAGTCTAATCACATCTTTCTTTGCCCTTTATGTCTGTTGCTTAGTTGAGTGAGCCTGTGTGTTGGCTTCAGAATTATTTGTATGAAGCAGTGGCATTTTCCTAACCCTTTAATTCCCATGTATTTTGTTCCACGCTTTTTAGGTGATGTTGGATTTTGATTTCAATCTGTGTTGTCCTTACAGAACAAGTATTCATAAGTACCCCCCCAATATCTTAGACACTACCACAATGCAGAAAAGCAGCACACACATTAGCAAACTTTAAAGCTATTAAAGTAGATGATAAAGATGAACAACACAAACACACCACACTGAGGTGTGTCCAATTTCTTAAATATATACAAGGGGGAAAATCCCAATACAAATCAATGGGAAGTGTGAAGATTCAGATTTCCAAATTTCAATCAGATCCAATCAGGTCTGCATCCCAATTATCAAGCTGAGTCTGAAACTGAGTCAGAGATCTCTGAACAGTCCTAATTAGCAAATCCCTCTGACTTTCAAGTTAGAAAACTTAAACTGAACAAACACTGTAAGGAGAGAACGCCCCTCCACCTTCTCCCAAGACATACTAACGAATTTCGGTTTGGGAGTCATATAACAAGGTACATTAGTATCAATCACAAAGTGAACTGTATCAAATCAATAGGTTGCTAAGAAGGAAAAATGCATTTTTAAATAATAATAATAATCCAATTATGCACATGCATGGGGAGGGGGGAGAATAGAAAGAACTCGTACCTCAAAGTCATTTGCTTTATTGTAGTGCATGTTGAGGGCCCTGTACAGCTCACAGTCTCTGGTTATAGACAGCTCTTCAGTGCTGGTCACTCCGTCGTTGATGGCTTGACGCGCATACTTTTCCATCTGAATGTAGTAGAACTCGCGGAAATTGCTAAACCACTTGATGAGCTGAGAGGTAATGCATCTGTTGAACTGTTGAAATATAAAAAAGTAAGAAAGATTAGATCATGGACTTTGGCCCCTTCCCCATTTTATAGCATGCTTACATCTTTTTCTCTATCCCATCCTCACAGTGCTTATCTTCAAAAACTTTTAAATGTGAAGAATTAAGATGTACAAGAGGTTGAGTCAAATGGTTCAAAGACATCCCACCAAATGTTTAAATAGCAAAGCACTGATCTAGTTCATATTCTTAAAGTTGCTACACTGTGTTATAACTCTTCTGCAGATGTAATATTAGACATGGAAAATATTTCCAGATTGCTGGACACCACTTTGTGACTTCTAGGTACTTAACCAAGTAGGTATCCAGGATTTCTCAGCTTTCTGCAAATCAATTCTGTCTAGTATAAGAGTCAAAGTCATTGCCATTGAGGCACACTGTTGTTAGGCCTCACACATTATAGCTATGCATTTATGGAAGCACAGAGAGGGTATGTATGTATGTATGTATGTATGTATGTATGTATGTATGTATGTATGTATGTACGTATGTACGTATGTATGTATGTACGTACGTACGTATGTACGTACGTATGTACGTATGTATAAATGAATGAATGAATGAATGAATGAATAAAAATAAATAAATAAATAAATAAACAAACAAACAAACAATATGTGTTCCATATAATGCAACATCTATTTCCCATGAATCAAAAGGTGCAATCCTGTCTATTCAGGAAATATTTAAGACCAAATATTAAGGGACTCCAGTAACTCCAGAATTGTTATTTTGTTGCTAAAGCAAATAGAGTTGACGCTGTATTTGATTATAACTCTACACCCTACTAAAAAAGAAACACAAACTATAAAGAAAGAATGATACATATATATTACTGAAGGCTGGCCCTCCTCTGGGGTTGCCCACTCTAAAGTTGAGAAATGAGTTATATGTTATCCTCTGTTCATATTTGCAGATACTTATTACAGTCTGACTAGGGAAAACATAAGACCTTCAAATACCAGTTCAAATCAACCCCTGCCATCCTGTTTGGGAATTTTAAAGTTTTACTGTCTTATATATAGGATTTTTCAGGGCAAGTACTGTTTCCTATGACCTTTGAACTGAAGATGTCATCTAGGTTATTTGCTGCAGCTGATACCCCCTTACTGACTTCCCCTTCTCTACGTAAAGGACAGATGCAACTCAACTTGCCAAGTTAAAACCAATAAATCCATAGCTATATATCAGGCAAGCTGATATACTACCCCCTGCCTTTTGTCATCACAGGCATTCACTTATCCCAGCCCCCAGAAAGAGACATACATGAATCAAAAATCAACAAAGAACACTTATCAAACACTGGCCATGAGAACATCCAGGCCTCCAACAAGATGACAGCTAAAGTGTGCATTGGGGCTGTAATTACTACACAGAAAGTTGTTTCCATGCTAGCAAAGATAATAAACGCATGAAAATTTATGGCAGGGAATCTAAGTAACAAGGAAACAGAAGCAGGGAGACTGGTGTTTCTCCCAAAAGGCCAACTTGCATCATAATTGCCGTGCAGTTGCAAGGGTCCTTACAGATAATTGACCAGAAAATGATTAAGTCATCATCAAATCGCTTCTGCTTGCAAGAGTTCAAACATGTACTTAACCTATCCAAGAATTATATTTTCACTCGGTGTGTCTGCTCTGTCTCTATTCAGCCCTTGCGGGGAACCTGATTAAAAAGACAACTGAAGGACCCCGGTTATCTGATCTTCTGGTTACCCATTTCAATAGAACTTAAACCCATTACGATTTGCTGAACTTGGAGTTCTTTCCATTTTATCTCAGCAGTAAAATACACTGTCCAAATTTCCAGACACTGAGATAAGGACTACAGGCCCCCATGACGGCTTACTGTTCCTTTTTAATTCTTTTAGAATAAGAAACAAAACATTACAAAATGATAGCAGGGTGTGCACTGGGGAATGAAAATTGCTTTGACATGGAGATTAGGCTCCTGCATTGTTACAAGACATTGTCTCATGTGGACAAGAGTACTGTAGAGGAGAAAAATAGAAAGGATTTTTTCCTCTCTCCCTAGAATGGTCATGAATGACCTCATGTGGATGACAACAACAACAACAAAATAGGTGCACATGTTGTTATTTAGCAATAGGAAATAAAGAGAGATTTAATGTTTATCATTGCGGCATGGAAATACTAGGGAGAGTGGAAGAAAGAAAGAAAGAAAGAAAGAAAGAAAGAAAGAAAGAAAGAAAGACACACATAAGCACTTAAGGAGCACAACTGTTCTCTGTAGAAGCATTTGAAGAATGGGTTACTTTTCCACACATACATGTGCATGTGAAGGATGCATAACACAAATGCCCTCTCTTGCTTCAACATTCTGGTGTATATAAATCACTCTTTTTTAAATTGCCAAACTTTAAAGAGTTAATTATTCCCCCCCCCCACCTCCTTCTGTAGTGGAGTACAAGAAAAGGATCAATTGTTCTATAAAAGAAAAGCTCTGTAGTGTGTTAATGTGTTACTGCAAAAACTAATCGCTACAATAAAGAGTCTGTGTTTCCACAGTGTAAGAGTCTCTGTGACTTTGATTAATGCTTCCCACGGGATACCTCCGCCTCAATATGGGCTGAAGAAACTTCCTAAATATTCAATGAGCATGGTCAAAAGATGTATAAAACAAATCAATCTGACACCTTAATCTGGCTAGGCAGCAGTTGACTCAAGGGGTGGAGGGAATGAGATACATCATTTAACACTGCTGGGTTGGAAAGCCTGGAAGGGTCTGTTCTTCAAAGCTAAAATGACACTGAATCTGTTGTATTTAGTAGTCTAAGAATTATTAGCTTATACATGGAAATCAACATCAAGCGGAGCGAAAGAAGATGATACAAGGAAAATCCATTTTTGTTCCCACACCAGGTTGGGAGAATTCCCCCCTCCCTGCCAAGTGAGAGACAAAATTGGAGTTGCATCTTATAAAGCCCAACTAAAGATACTGTAGTTCGTTAATTAAAACAAGATCTTAGCGAGAAGAGGATGGAAGGGTTCAATTGATAAATACATTCTACAGAAAATTAAGAGGATCATTTTAGTGAAGCTAACTAAATTAATTTGATCCAATGAAGGCAGTTCAGATCTTATTTCCAAGCCAATGCTTTTATTTTCATTCGTTTGTTTTAAGAAAACGTTTTACTATTTAGTCTTAAAAGATTGTCAATTTGGCTTTTATGTAAAAATAAGTTGCTTGGAGGAGAAGACTGTCACAGCCCCAGTAAAGAGTACTGAAGTGGACTTTGTATATTTATTGTACAACACATTAGGATAAATTGCAATGGTTGGGCTGAAATCCAAACAGCCCATGTGTGTTTTCCAGGCATGCTGTTTCAACTCCAGCTTCTCGTGCTGCTTTACAAGCCACTCTGAAAGATCCCCCTGATTTATTTATTTATTTATTCGGAATGGATTTCTAATGGGGCACAATACGTTGTAGTGAAAAAGAAGGGTCCTTACAAGCCCTGGGGATGAGCAGGAGCTTCTAGGCGTGGAAACTCTGTTCAGGCTTCATTGGACCTTGCCCATTAATGGTATTAAAACGTATGCGTGTGATTTCTTCTTTTTTTTAAAAAAAAGCTTTTACAGCCATGCTTCAATTAGGAGAAACATTTCATATTCTACCGTGGCCATTTTTTTTAACAAAGTCCTTCAGTTACCTCTTCTTCCACATTAACTAAAATGATCTGCTCTGAAATGTTATCTCAAGATTACTTTCCTTTCTAGACTCCAAAAGAGCTGACATTAAAATGGGAACTTTTCTCTGTCCTCATATATTAGTTTTTATTTTTCTTTGAGAATGTGAGCATGATTCTCGTGTAACTAAGGAAATAAGGTCTTCCTTACATTAGTCTGTGACCAACATTTGCTGTAATGTTTATTTCAAATCACGGATGATATTGCACGGGGATTCTTCTTTACCCGTCTTATCTAGCTGTTGGTATAAATTCTTCTTCTTCTTCTTGCTGTTGTTATGTGCTGTCAAGTAACTTCCCACTTACAGCAACACTACAAATTAATGACTTCTAAGATATCCGATCATCATTAACAGCCCAGGTCATGTCTCGCAAACTCAATCTTCCTTCACTGAGGCAACAGAACCAACCCAGAGAAATCCCATCCCCACAGTCTAGGAAATACTTAGGAAGTGGCTTATTGAACACCCACAGTGTTGTAGTGCCACTCAGTTGAGAAGGACCCTATTGCAGTTGGGTTTAAAGGAATTGTATTTCAAAAACCTGGTGAGCACTAAGTTGGTGACCTGTCCTAGAAACTGGCACAGAAGGTTGACATGTCTTACTGGCATGGAGAGTGTGCATTTTCTCCAGTGTATATCCTGCTGGCATCTAAAAATCATTGTCTGGTGTAATCTGACTAATAACTCAGTACAAAATGTGCTGTTAGATGCAGGACACTGTTGCTTTCTGGAGAGGGGGAAATGCTTTGCTGTGAATAGACACCGTGGCATTAAAATAAGTCGTATCATAGGTGTGTGGATCACATCACACTGTTTTTTCCCCATAGCAACCCATGTGCAAGAAAAACGCCTTTGCTACTGAATCATACCAGGGTCTCATTCTTCTTTTATAACTCCTTTCCTGTCATGCTCATAGGAAAATATTTTCAGAATCTGTTTTCAGTCCCTCACACACACAAAATGATTTCTACCTCATCTCTATGTATGATGTGGCCATTGATACTCCTAGAGTCAACTGCTGCAATATACGCTTGAAGCATTTCAGGAAAGAAGGCTCACAAAAGAACAGCAGTTGCAAAGATACTGTTGTAGTGTGGAACGGATGGACCTTTAGATACTACTAGACTGCGAGGGATCATCAGCCTCAACCAACATGGCTGAATGATCAGGGCTGGTGGAGGTTTGGTCCAGCAACATGCAGAGAGCCAGAGGTTCCTATCCTCGCCTTAGAAAGAGACACTATAAATTATAACAATACTGTACTAGGTTAAAAAAGGAAATTGCCTCATCCAGTGTAAATCAGTTCTTCTTAGACTCTTTCTGGGGGAGAATGCAGAAACCTGTCTAAACTTTTGTAATAAGAGGTCTCCTTTTATTTCCTGTGCTGAAAATTTGAATTAAAAGATGAGCCTAAAGCAAAAAAAGGAGAAAAAAAGAATGAGAGAGAGAGAGAGAGAGAGAGAGAGGTGTAGAATTCCTTCAAGGGTCTGCTCTTCAGCTTTCAACAACAAAAAAATCTTGGGGCACTAACACATTTTTTTTGACCTAAGCCTTTGTGGGCTTTTGTGTCTCTTTCAGCAGAAGCAAAGCTTTTGCCCTATAAATTTTTGTTAGTCTTTAAAGTGGCATAAGACCTTTGTGTTTTTTGCTGATACAGGCTATCTCAGGCTACCCCCTCCACCTTGAAATAAATATTTACCCAATCCTGCTCACCATGGCCAGTCTGATCAATTCTTCAGAGCAAGCTAAAAGAGAAGCTGACTTAACCCGCAAGAAATTTTACATTAAAGCATTAAAAAAATATCAACATGGAAACCCACCCACCGATCCCACTCCCCGAAGAAAGAGGAATGTATCTAATATTTACATCTACTGGTGTGTGATGTTGTTGACCCCGAATGGCTGTGGCCTTCCACCACGGAAGTGGCTGCCTTTCAGTGGTGGGTGAATGATCCCTATATTGGCTGTTTGTAAAGCACTTTGGGCTTCTTCTGGATGAATGATGCTATATAAACATAAGGTGGTATAACATCAAAATATTTCATAGAAACTTTGGCAACATCGCAAGAAGACCAGTGTTCAGATTGTCACATGCTGAAAAAAGACAACAGGCACCAAATGCTGGAGAGAACTTTTCTTTTCCCGTACAGCTCCTTGCATTAGCATCCACTCGAGAAAAGGACAGCAGAGAGGCATTATCTCAAGCCGAACTGTGGGCAAATATTACCAATGGCTCCAAAGTCTCCATAGCCATTCCATTGTTGCATTGCAGGTAGTATTCCCCTAAAAGCATTGCTTTTCCTTAGCCTACTGCATAATTCACAGTAGATGATCAGAGCTAGAGAAAGCCACGTTCTTGGACTACTACTTCCAGCATCCCCCAGTATGCGTGACTATGGTGCTTGGGAGAGTCTGGGAACTGTAGTCCTCAAAATATTTGTCCTCTGCTCTGCCGATGACACAGGTTTTGGGGACTTGATAAGTCTATGATGGAGTGTTATTGACCACTTCCATTGTCCTGCTACCTTTGCTAAGCTTTCTAATTGTAGAGCTAGTGCTGCCCACAATCTCCACCCCTCAATGTTCTGGAAACTCCAGCCACTTGGGCAGAAGATGTTTAACGCATGTGCCATGAAAACTGTAAACACCTAAACTTAAGCTGGGAAAATACTAAGTCAAATGAATAAGGACCAACAAAATTATGAAACATATAGAAGTAAAGACGTGAGAATGCCTTTGTTGTGTGGTGAGAAATGAAAGGTATAGCTTTGTTTTGTTTTGATCACTGACTATGCATTGTGAAATAAATGGGAAAAGAAACATAAGAAGAAAAATAACTTATTGGGTGAAAAATAGTTTAGAGACTGGTTTTGGCACAACACAATATGGTGCATCCAAAGCCAGAAAAGTTATGTTCTTCTGCCTTCCGTAGGGGAGAGGAAGAAGTGGGATAATGGCGATAGCTCTTCTCAGAGTGGACAGAGGAAATGACACATGCAAACTGATAAAATGTTCAGTGAAAGTAAATTAAAACAACATAAAGTACTTTTTTGAAATGAGAAGAAAGTGAGAGGCTATTAACAAAAAAGAAATGCAAAACAGATTGTAATTTTTAAAAAAAGGAATATTGAAAAGAATTTGGCCAACGCACCCACTGAGCATCCCAAAGCAGAAACAAAATAAACAAAAAAAGAGAGAAAACTTTTAACCCCAAAGTAGAAAACCAAATACATTTGCTTCATGGGGTGGGAATTAAAGTTTTGTAAAGATGGGTGTGTAAGAGGAAATAACAGTGACGGAAGGAATTTTAACATGGCAAATTTGAACTAATGCAATGTTTATTTTAAAAGGCTTACAAAATGATACCATGTCTGTCATTAGAATAATTGGAACCCAAACTAGGTTTGGGTGGGTTTTTTAAAAAATAAAAATAAAAAACTTCAGTGATTAACACAAAAAATCAAGTTGATGTGAAGGAACAATTACTTCAGAAAAAAAATCAGGAGGTCCTAATATTCTGTAGAATGAGGGGAGGATGCAGCTGTACGTCGACAGCTTTCATATCCTCATTTGAATAATGTGGCCTGAATCTGTCAGTTTATTCATCCTCCTTATGTTCAGTGTACTCTGCATCAACAACAAATTAAGTTGTAAATAAGAGACAATCATCACTTTTGTTTTTAAGCAGCTACTGCATGGGGAATTTCAATGTCGCATTTTGTCTTTTTCTTTTTTTTTTTCCGGGAGGGGGGACGGAAAGAAAAAGTGGATCTCTATAGTGGGCACCAATGTAAGTGGAATATGAGGAACACGCCTGCAATGGAACAATTAAACAGCCCCCCGAAATGCTCTCGGATAGTACGCTAATGCCACCAACAGAAAATTTGCAGATGCAAAACTGTGCCATCCAATTATTTTTAAAATATAAATAAGTGACTGTATTTTTTTTTAAAGTATTCACATTGGAACGAAGCAGGGGGAGGTAAGAACAAAACAGAGAAAAAGTACAATTAAACACACACACACGTCTTAGTATAAATTCATTGCACACACAAAAAGTTATGAAGACTTTGCCAAGTTATATTATGAGCAAATTCAAATTAAAACCAATAAACATCCAGAGGGTTCAAACATGCAGTCAAGACAACAGGAGAAAAGGAAAATAAAAGGGCTTTTCCTACCTTCACATCTGAGAAGTACGTTTTCAGCATATTGGAACTTGGGTAACGGGTATAAAAGAACATGAGCTTGGCCTTTTTCAAGTGGTTAGGCGACAAACCTTCCTGCATGTAGGATTAAATTTCAGTTAAGGAAAAGTGCTTGTTGAGAATACACTGATCAAGAACCAGAGTTAATCAAATCCTTTTGGAAGAAGAGTTTTTAGGGTTGGCTGATACATTTAATGTTCAACATGCAGCTTTCTAGAGGTCCTCTCATTTAGGAAGGGAAGGAAATGGGAGACATGAATCGGCATTTAGAGAACTCAGGCTACAATTTTGTGCATTCTTTCCTGGGAACAAAATGGCCACTGAATGTAGCAGAACTTCCACCCAAGTAAATATGCGTCAAATTGGGCATACTGGTTCTTTGCAAGTTGATGGCTGAAAGTTTGCAAGCGTCAGTTCTGCGCACGGCCTATGCCTTGACCTGTTGCTAAGCAAATATATAAGACACATGTGTCCCTGGATAAAATGCCTCACACATCCCACTTATCCTTGTTGCAGTCGTATAGTTTCTCTTCCAGCCTTGTATCATTCACACATGAAATCCTAAGAATACAACTAGAATTTATTTTCACAGCATCTTGAACTTCATCTTTAGCTTCAAAAAAATGTGTGTTTTTGGAGTCATTGTGTGGAATCCATGACTCCAAATTCCTCATGAATTGGTTAGAAACCACCTCGTTATATGTAAATAATAATAATAACACCCCCCTCTAAAATCTTTGCCTTATAATATGCACTCTTCCAGATACAAGCATGTATTTGGGGCTAGCAGTATTAATGAGGGTTGGTCACCCTGCAAGAAAACCAATTTTTCCTGCGAGTATCATTACCCTTCAGGTCTATAAACAGAAAGAAGACAAGAATCCGGAAGGGAATGCAAAGCTAACTATAACAATCATAACACCCCCAATTTGCCTTGATTTCTTGGCACTCTTTTGTGTACCGTTAGCTAGGGCAGTTTTGGTCACATCTGTGCAGCAGCCTGGCCCTGCCATTTCCTCTGCAAATTAATGGCTTTATAATTTATCAGAAATGAAGAGGCACGTGACAAAAATCAATGTGGCCCCTACAAGGTCAATTAAGATAGCTCCTGGTAGCTTCTTAAAGGGCTGTTTCCTTTAAAGACAGTCCACACATACACAGTCACACAAATGTCACTTATTAAATAACACACATTATGGTGCAGGGAGGTCAAACAAATTGAAAGTAATCCAGAAACTGAAGCACCCTTGCTTTGCAGCATGACAGGGAGAAAAAAAAATCCCTTGTATTTAAAATAGCATATTCTATTAAATCTCTGTGTATAAATACCCGTGTACAGTATAAAAATAAAATTGAAAAGAAACAGATTGATCAATCATAGAACTTGACCTGTCAAGAACTGTAAGAGATACAATTCATTTACTACTGCTGTCGGATAGTGGTTCTTTTGGGTAATGGAAGTCTTGTATGAAATAATAGTTTTGAAAAATATTCAGGGCTCTATAGAAAGAAGAGCAAAAAGAGGGCAAGATCTATTTATTTTTTTAAACACAAGGTGTTAAAAATGATTTCATTTTTTCATTTTAAAGGGATGCAGAAAATGTAACGGATTAAAGCCCTTAATTTCTGTAAGTGGCCTCTGAGCTGCTCAGCTGAACTTGCATTTTTGTTTTAGATGCTTAATGATTACGAAGAAGATAATTTATGACTGACATACTTCTTGTGCCAAGAGAAGAGTTGAAAGAACCTCCCGTTACCTCCATTAGAATGATAGAGAAGTTTAAAAGAGCATTACACTCCACAGTGCCATCTGTCAAAATGCATAAATGAAGTAATCGAAGCAAGCTGTCACCTACTGCACAGTAGTACGATGTTTTCCAGACAAGTTGAAACTTCACCAACAGAAATCTATTTTCTTATATAATTTGCTCTGCTTTGTGGTGAGAAGCCTACTTCCAGTGGTAGTGTCTTATAAATCTTTGAAAAAAATAGGATACAATATCTTGGTAACTTCTGCTGTGTAAGACCCTTTGGACCTGATGGATACAAGCAAAAAAAAAGGTATCCTGTCTTGCACAACTTTCATTCATCCCTATTCGTAAGCATTGCTAGGAGAATTCTTTGAGCAATCATGTCTACTACACTTTATCTTGTAGTTATGTATGCCCTGAATCTTAACTCTCCTCCAATGAGGAGCTTCAATGACTGAGCTTGTGCTCCTATTTCAACCACACAACACCCTGTGCAAGATGGTTTAGGCAGCTGAATTGCCATCTCTGCCAATCAAGTTCAGATAGCAAGTTATCTGAACTCAGAAGTCTAACACATTCTCCTTAAATGCTGCTCCTGCTTTTAGTTGCAGCAATACAAACTGTTAAATGCTCTACCAAATACGAATTGAGCGATAATTTCAAATTTAAATGTTCGGAAACTTCTCTGTGTTTTGTTCCCCTAAACCTTCCTGCAATTGTTAAGGCAAATACAACATTCTTCCTCCACCATGCCTAGTTTCAAATATGAAATTATTGCTGTGAAAAGCATCCCTAATAGCAACGATTAAAAATAGATAACAAGAACATTTAAGGGCTAGTAATGAGATGACTTCCCCCCCCCCGTTGCCTTTAAAAAAAAAACTAAAACTGAGCTGACCAATTGGTTAATTTTCTTTTTAAGTGCTTGTGCTGAAAAGCAGCCGTTCTTCCAAGAAAGCACTGGCTGTTTCCAGGATACTTACACGCGCACAATGAGTCATAATTCAGTAAACATACAGCTGTACTGAACACGAGCTAAGCTCCATTCAAGGCCACGAAAGAAAATGAGCACAAATAAATATTAAGGAGGTAAAAGGGAGGAAGAGCTAGGAAGCCGAGTGAAGTGGGGGGGGGGTTGTGAATAAGAAGGCAAACAGAACGCAAACAGACTCTGCCCCAACAGCTGATGTGGCCTGCCTCAGTACTCTTCGGCATAGCTTTGTAAAGACAGATGACATTCAATTCTATGTGTAATGCAAAATAGACAATAACTCCTGAAACCTGAGCCAGCTGCCAGGTGTAAAAAAAAAATGGGGGGGGGGGGAGGGGCAAAAGAAAAGAAAAGATGATAAATCCATAAATTAATGAAAGACATCTGCTCAGGAACATAAAAGATCAGAGAAACTGTGTACTACAGCTGAACCTAAAATAGTGTTCAAACAACCTGAGAATCTGAGTGTTATCTATTTACAAAGCATAACGCAGCCTGCTTAAAACAACAGCAGCAGCAAAGAGAGAGATGTAAGGAAGAGGAAGCAGGCAGATGGTAAAAGAAGAAGATGATCATATAAGATTTCTATTTTCCTGCTCAATGTTTTGCTACCTAGGTAGTCAATATACTATATTGTCCATTCTAGTTGGAAATACTTGGGCTTGGGCGTTAAGCAGTGGGCTAGCGATATGAAGAGTATTTTTTATCCCTTCCTTTTTGAAATCCTCTGGTGGAGGTTTTTTTTGTTGTTGTTCCATAAACCTGGCTACCTGTCAGAATTGACTCTCTCTGTGTGTGTGTGTGTGTTTGTGTACTGGCACATGGATGCACATTAAAGGCAAAGTAATAACTGCTGTGTGCTGTCAAGTCAGCTCTGACTTATGGCGAACCTTTTCAGGGTTTTCTGCATAGAGAGTACTCAGAAGTGGTTTTTCATTCCCTTCTGGGGGACACTTCCTGCCCAAGACGAAGCTGAATGTTTCTTCCAATATACCTGATTTAAAAAAAACAAACTCATAGCAATTGCATTGTGTAATGTTTATTTGAATTCACCACAAGCCACTGTGCTAAATTCTGGCTCCTCTTGATTTAATCCAAGGTGGATTGATTTGTATCATAGGTGGCCCTGTATATAAAAAGCTTGCATTTGTTGCTAGTCATCTCATTTTGGTCAGCCAGAAAAACTCTGATCAAAATGCTGCTGTTTTGATCCCGCTGCACCCTGAAACAGCCTCAGCTTGGCCAGGATTGTGTGTTGAACTTGAAAAGTTTTGTGAATCTATGAGACTACCATTCTGGGAGGATAGGGAAGGCGACATATATATATAAAAAATCTTCACCTGGAAAGACAATCTTAATGCCCTCTTTCTAACAAGAATACAAAAATGAAACCCACAATCTACTGTTGTGCTTCAGTATTCTCTATGCAAATGCGCCCGAGGCTGAACAAGGCTATTTTTCTTGAGATGCAAAGAAGGGTGCCTGACAAGGAAGATCATGCAGAAAAACAATTGGCTGTCTGTTTCTTTTGCAATTTGAATAAAAACTTAAATATTTGATTAAACCTATTTAGCTTGCAAAGACAGACAATACATTCATGAACAAGGCAGGAACTCTTGTGATGCAGGTGCATCTTCTCATCTTGTTTAATGTGGCATACAAACATTAACTCTCTCCTTTCGCCCTCAAACAAGGAGGATAATGGTTAGATGCGTTTTACTGTAAAAACAAGATGTATTCAGGAAGCAAAGCAAAACAAAACAAACAAGCGAAAAGAAATGAGGAAGGGCTTTTGCTACCAAAAACCTGAACTTGGCTGTTATCTGCTAGGCTTGCGCTCTTATCCTGGATTCTCCAAGGAAACAGATGTTGCTTTCCATTCCAAAGGGAAGAACTGCTGCTTTTAAGAAAGATTCTTTATATATGAATATTCAGTCATGTGAAATAGAGAGGAACAAAAAACAAAAACCTGGATGAGAACAAACAGACCTTCACATGCCTCTCTCCGGCTTGGTTTTTCCTACGTTGAATTCCAGATAATGCAGACATATGGCCAGCTGCTAGAAAAATAAAGTGGCTACATATTCTAGACGGAATTGTGGCCCCAGTGGAAATGCAAGTGTTTTTAAAATATGTTTGGATTCTGAGAGAAATAAAACTGTGGGCATAATATTTAT